ACGTGACTAACTCAGGACATCAGGGAGAGTGCAGTACATCTGTCTGGCTGCGCACCACTTAGGTGTGGTCGTTCGGTTGGCAGACAAAGCAGGGGCGTCACGCTTTACGTTAGCTTTATACTTGACATTTTACTACCCACATGTTTCGGTAGACAGACAAAACTGTCGAAGCTCGGTCGGTACTGAATAGTACTTCCTCTGCTCAACTGACGTAAGAGTGCAGTCCTAGGTGAGCACCGCCACCGTACAGTGGCCACCATTGCTGTTGCGACGTCAGGATGTGTTGCCATACTTTCTGTTCGGTTTCCCTAAAATTTACCTGGAGCCGATCGACGCGTCTCCTGCTATTAAGCACTGAAACGTTGTCCCAGCCGTCGGACAGGTAAAGCTGTTAAAGCGCAATGCGTTCGGACATTTCCTTGTCTTGCCAATTGACATTATCTTCTAAATGATTAGATTCACGGCCGCTGTATGGCTTTACTAAGTGATGCTTGGTGGCGCGGTTTGGTAAGGCCCGCAACATGTAGAACGCTTTCAGGGTAGGTATTCATCTGTATGATAAGTCTAAGGAGACGGTGCAATTGTAACCAGTCCATTAATGTTGGGTGAATGGGGAGCAGATCTCACGGTGATGTACGCATTTCCTTTCGCCTAGGCCGTGCCCAGAGTGTAAGCCTACGTGAGTGCGCATAGCTTTAGTGTGGTCCGCCACACATTTTGGCAGGCCGCTGCGTTAGCTTGATGGCACCTAGAGCGAGTCAGAATTATATACAGCAATGGTCACTGGCTCTGTTACCTTGAGCACTATAAGAACACTGCTATTTGCTAAAGCCGTTTATACCAATACTGCAAGCACGCGTTTGCGGATTTCACCTAACCCGGACGCCATTGCTTCCCACAGGCACTGTTATTGCGGTCGCTGTTTAGCATCCCCACTAGAACCCGCCCACGGCGTTCTTTCGTTGCCCATCCAGTGTTTGGTTGGCACAGGTAAGCTGGCATTTCAATGGTGACTTCCCCAAGTAGACGTTCATCGTAGTCCGGGTTACCGTTGCCACTGGCCATCCTCCAACCTCCCGGTACTATTGTATGAAGCAACCCTGATTCATAGTTACAGGTAAGATTGCATTTTCTTAATGACTTCAATTCAAAAGCCCAAGTACACATGCGCCCACCTCAGCCGTCATGGTTATCGCTGCCACGGTACAATTGGCTCGCCCTTTGTCTCATCCGTGTAACGTACGTCCATTTGCAGACACCTACCGTATTACCGCGTCCGGTCATCTATCGCTTTCCAGTTTCGTTAACATTTCACATTCCTTAGAGAAGAGACAAAATGCCCTTTTCAGGGCCACCTCTTATCACTGTGTCTTGCCGTCCCACGTCGCAAACGAAGACTGAAAATCTGCAGGTTAATTGCGGCGGATCAAAAGGCCGCAGGTTCAATGGGTGGTTCCGTAATCCAGCCTGTGTATGGGCCCAATGATCCACGTTGACGTGTGACGCAAGACTGCAAGCAATCCGGACAACCTGCATGTCCATTAAAAGCGTAGTATGTTTCCCTTATGCAATAAATTTAAACGATGAACTTGCAGCAGTAACCATACGTTGTTCGTTAGGATTCCCCCAGTTCTCTCCGCTTTTTCATCTTTACTCATTTGCGCACGTATTTCTCCCTGCAAAACCACATGAGGAACCATTTTCCGTATTCTTGCATGGCGGGTGATGAGCGTTCGCAAAGCTCCCCACTCCGACAAGAATATTTGCCAATGGTTTGTACGTCCATTTGTCCACTTGTTAAAAGCTTACACACACATGACCTCGCTTAGTATAACAGTACCGCGTGGTCCTGTGCATGGCTTCTTATCCCACTGACATCCCGTTATTACCAAACTCCACACGCTATTCGTTATGGCATGTCCTTATTTTCCACAGCGTGTTACTTTATAACTCCACTGCGAAAAACCCAAACGTGACCTAAAAGCCGCTGCAACCTCAGGTAACCTCAATGGACAAGGAGGCCTACGTCTTACTTAGCCAGTAAGGTAACATTTCCCGCTTTCCATCTTCTTACTTCACCGCATTAACCATGGTAACACCGTTTCACTTCCCGCACCGCTATTCTATAAACGTTCTTAAATGATCAGAAACACCTTTCCGTCCAAAACCTTAGCACCTTCGCACAGGTTAGCTAACCAATTTAATGCATACACACCATCACTTTATGCATAGATCTTTTTCCTTACGAGAATCAATAACGTTATCTTGAGGATGCCTAGCAGTACCGGGGCTGCTGATCACAATAAGTAACAGCTGCACACACCATTCCGCTTCCGCAATTGTGTGCCACAAACCTGATAATAGAACGACCATGTTTTTCTAGCAACCCCACAGTCCCAAAACTCTTGAATTTTGCCTTTCCATGTATTACGCATCCCACCTGCAGTACTGAATACAAATGAAGACAAACATTGTGATATATATGTAGTTATTACTTATGAGCAAACAAGTATCCTTTACATACTTCATATATATATATATACATATATATATATATATATATATATATATATATATATATATATATATATATATATATATATATATATATATATATATATATAGCCCACGTCCCGTAAAACATAGCCGCGCCAGACAACAGGTCTGCAGGTTATCAGCTCGCAGCTCGACTGGCGTAGATCGCGCGAGCCACGAATTGTCACTGACGGTGGGAGGGCAACTCCGGAAGTTCAGTTGTTTGTTACTGCCTGCCTTAAGCCAGGCTGCCCCTGTTCAAATTGGTGCAAACCCGCCAAACCCACGTGCCTCTGGCCGTGGTCGCAGGTGTACAATCGCAAAACAACTATGATGCTTCCAGTACCTCCATGGCTGCGTGCGTCGGCCGGCAAGCAGTTCCTCAGCTGTAACTGTAATCACATTCGCGAGCTGCATCTGCTCCCCACTGTCTTGTGGGTCAGATTATTGAGCCAAAGTCTCTGTGCGGCTTCCCTTAAGCAAACCACTAGACTACCTACTACCTTGTGGGTCAGGCTATTGAGCCAATTTCTCCGGGTTGTGTCCCTCAAACAAACCACCAAAGCACAACCTCTACATCTGGTGCGATTGCGCACCAATGCAATCGGATGCCTGCGCGCAACGCACTCAGCACCGCGTGCTGGAACATGCGCACACCACTGGCCTGGAACTTAAGTGAGCGCACTGAGCGATGCACTGCACTGGCTGCGGTGGAATGGGTGGGACACAACCGGGATATTGCGGCGCTCAGTGAGATCCGGCTTGCTGAGCAAGGTACCTTGTATGAAGTAGGTGCTGGCTATACATTCTACTGGGTGGGCAACGCCACCTCAGCACCAGAAGTACATGCGGTCGGATTTGCAATATACAACCCTCTAGCTTGTCAGCTGGTGAGTGAACCAACAGGCATCCGCGCTACTGAGGACTGTTTTACTACGACTCAGAAGTGGTAAGTTTGCCACCTTTATAAGCAAGTACAATCCGACCGCGTGTCACCCAGATGACATGCTTGGTCAACACTACCCTCAGCTATCTTCCACATTACAGTGGCACCCGTGGCAGAAACAGGATCTCGTTGCTGTCCAAACTCCTCAACGAAGGGCAACCAAGAATGTAAAGGGCCTCTTTCATCTGCCTTATCAGCTTAGACTAAAAGCTCTAAGAATCTACAGCAGACGATATCGGTTGTTGCGGGAGGATCTCATAATGGTTTACCAGCTTCTGAAGAACCCAAAGCACATTTGCCGTCCGCTGCTGAAATTGAACCACAACACTAAACTAAGAGGTCAGCCTCTGCAACTGACAATTCAGTATAGCCGACTTGAATGCCGTAAAAATTTCTTTTCCCTCTGCGTGTGCCAGTCTTGGAACGCCCTCCCTAATTATGTCTCTCTACTCCCAATCTGGCAATATTTAAAAACGTGTTGACGACGTACTGTCCCACTTACATTTCATTTTATGACTTTTTAGCCAGGGGCTATAAAACGCAAGTAAATGGTGTCTTGCCAAACGCCTAAGTAATGGATGTATGGATTTATACGTTTATTACGCGAAAGTCTCCGATATTCTACATAAGTCTATGGCGAGTCTCCCACAACGCTTTTCACTTTATTATGCAATTGATTTTCGCCATAATTTCCATCCCACTGGACTTGTTCAGAGATGCTATTTTACCCGTAATATACCATTGTTCCATTGTAATACGGCCGATGCCTAGGATCGACCAAATACTGCTGCTGGGTGATTTCAACTCGCGCGTTGGGCTGATGCATCGGTGTGGACCCGTGGTGTCGGTCCGCATGGCATTGGTTCAGCGAATGCGAACGGTGACAGGCTGCTCTCACAGTGCGCCACCCACGGCCTGATGATCACGAACCCTCGGTTTGTATTGAGTGCGAGTGAGATAGCACCTATGACGCACCCGCGGCGTAGTCCCGCTCACCTGCTCCACTACGTCATCGTACATCAGCGTGATGTGCGGGAGGTGCGCATGACGGTGTGTTGTGTGGAGCTGATTGTGGCGTTGCTCATAAGTTGTTACGGACCAAACGGGATATATATTTTCGTAACCCTATAAATAGTTATTCTCGTGAATTGGCGCAAATAAAACATTCTCTTCCTCGGTACGGTGGCGACGCATATGGAGCTGCAGTAGACGATTTCGGCACGACTGGGTGAGGGGACTGCATAGCCACAGTGGGCGGCCTGTGGTACCACGTTCGCAATCAGGTGACAGCTTCTGCCAAGGAGAACATCCGGCGCGCAAACTGTAAACGGTCTGTTTGTTAGATGATAACAACCCCAGGATTGGCCCACTGGTGCTAGAGAAAAATGCAACAGTTGCTGCACATGTGTCCGACTCCAGTAACTTGAGGAAGAAGAGTAAGTATCTCAGAAATTGGCGGCGACTGACTGGCGAGCTTTGTCGCAGTAAAAAGGCACGGTGGACGGAGAAGGCGAAGCAG